ATATGGAAGCACATTATTAATAAATACCATTAAGCATGAAGAACCAAAATAAAATGCATCAGGAAAGGCAGCCTCTCTCTCAGTATATCATACTCTCTGCATGGCACAGTTTGAAAGGTGAACTCGCTTTTCCCCAAGTGGTAGTAAGTAGAATCTTGATCACATTATGACAGGCAAAGAATATCCTTCATTTGAGAATCAGATTATACTTGCACCTGATCTTCAGGAGGAGTCCAGGAGACGCTGTACATCCTGTCTCAGGATCTGAACCTTTACCGTTTGCCATGTCAATCTAAGGTGCCTGCTCAGATAGTGAATCTTACTGGCTGCAGCGTTAAGCCTCTGGATTTTATTACTGGCAGCCTAGAGAGGTTAGAAGAGGAGGGTAGAATTGTGGCCTGGAATAAGTTTTTTGTTTTGTTTTGTTTGTTTGTTTGTTTTTTTAGAACATCCTTTAAAAAGTTTATCCTTATCATTTTATTTTAAATATCTGGTGGCCTGATTTGTGTCTCATGATGTGATGATGTGATACTTCTAAAAAAAAAATTCTGATTCTCACTGAAGCTAGGATGTCCCTCTCTGTCATCCCCCAGTTTTCCTTTTGTTTCTAAATGAGTACGTTTGATAATCTGCTGGGGCTGTAAACCTGTGAGCACTCACCAATCAAAAGGATCAGCTCTCAGCCATGAAATGACCTTGAGTGAACTTCAGGGAGATTAACTGGGAGAAAGGATTGAACATTTCTGTGTGAGTGCAGTGCCTAGAGAGAAATGGAGAGCGAGCGAGGTGGCACCGTTTCCTGGAATCCAGTGGTGGTCTGGTGCACGAAGTGTGAGCAGCAAGATCCTAGATACTCACCTTACACCTTGGTGCGGATAACAGAGGCAGAGATGAGGGCCTATCACCGTTTAGTAGGAAGTTGCATCAGGCTAGAATATGTGGCAAAAAAAGGTAGTGTGGAAGCAATGATGCATGTGTTTTATGTATGTGTTTTATTTCTCCTCATTGTTAGCACAATGATTTAAAAGTAAGAAATTTTACATTAAAAAAATCGTATTTTGCAGTACTGTCTCAAGTTTTTTGTGAAGAATTTCTAAAATGACTTTTTTGAAAAGCATTAATTAGCTATTACAATATTGTAGATGGTCATTTATTGGTATGTTCATAGGTAGGTTCGTAATAAAAAGATACAATTTTCTGAAAAATTAGGTTGTAATATGGAATGTGTAAGTGTGAGCTTGTTTTGAAAGCCTACATATGTCTGCACATACATATACATGCACTGAGTATTGTATAACAATGAGATAACTGGTTAATTTTGGTTAAAGGAATACGTTTTACTTAATTTTGTTTGGTTGTATTTTCTATTTTTTAAAATTACCAACATATCTTGCTTTTTTTCCAAGTGGTAGTAAGTAGGATCTTGGTCACTTCATGGCAGCAAAGAATATCCTTCATTTGAGAGTCAGATTGTACTTGTACCTGATCTTCAGGAGTTCAGGAGATGCTCTACATCCCATCTCAGGATCTGAACCTTTACCATTTCAATATTTCTATATTTCTTCTATGAAATGAAAATGAAAATAAGAATCCAGGTTATGAAATTCATATTCCTGGAGAAAAATGTTGAGTCTGAAAGGCTTCATGTTAGATGCATGAACTGATAACAGACTGATGGTCTCAGAGTAGAAAAAGAAAAGCGCTTCCCTTCAGTGGGCTGGTGAGAAGAAACATGATTTCTAAGTGTGCTTTCCGTGTACTTGGAAGCCAGCAGGACAGATATTCTCAAAGCTGAAGCAACTACTTGTTTCTAAGACTGCTTCTTTTAGAAATGCACTTAGTGGTATGCTCCCACTTTTTGTTTGTTTGTTTGTTTGTTTGCCTTGAACATGTTTATAATACATTTATTCCCTTTGGATCACAGGCTAGAAAAGGTGATTAAAGCAAATGTCTTAGGCTCTCTCATTACCCTTCATACTTGGAACCTGTTTCTTCAAGAGTGGGAAGTTATTAAATGAAGTGTGCTTTAAAAATAATCATTGTTGCAGTATACTTTCTGATTGAGACATGATTCATAGTTATATACCATATACATATTTAGTATGTAATGCATAAATTATATTCTCAAAGGCAATGGCTATGATATATTTGCTACTTAGATAAGGACAACTTGTTAAATAGGTTTTGCTTTCCATATTTAAACATGTGTGCTCACCTATGCATGCACACAAATCCTTACAAGGCTTGAATTGAAGTGTATATGATTGCTCTGATTTTATGAAAATTAAATTATTACAAGGGCTTTCCAACTCTGTTAGTAGTGAGGAGAGGAAATAATTTGAAAGAAGAATAAGAATTGCCAAATCCTAAGCTCACAGCATTATATATGCCTTATTTTTTTTCCTACTAAAGAAGATTATGAAATGTTGACCTGTATTCTTTAGCTGTCAGTCATTTTATTCTGTGACTCAAGACAACAGTGAAAGGTTGAGTATGTTAATGTAAGTTTTGTGAGTATCTGAAAGACCTTTCTGACATTACTGCAGCATTATGTTCATGAGATACTGTCAGTTGCCTTTTCGGACTAAAGTAACACTGATTCCTTGGGATTAGGGGAATGAAACTAGAGATAACACGCTGATTGAAATATGCGTTAATAAAGACCCATAGTTTATGTAATTGTTCGGGAGTCAAGGAGGGTTAGCAACTGGAGGTTTGCTTTTCCACTGGCTGTCCCCCCTCCCTTTTTTCTCTTTTTAAAGAAAAAAGTATATTTATAGTATATATTATTATAAGTATATTATATTAATATTATAAAATGAATGCTTCTAAGAGTAGCACCAGCTGCTGTAACAAACACCCAAATTTCAATGGATTAATAGATTCCAACACACTGTCCTCTATCAGAGAGCTGTTTTCTCTCAGTGTTTTAGGTACCCTGGCTGCCTCTATCTTGTGGGTCTGCCATTTGCTATACTTGGAGTTGTCACCTTGCAGCCTGGGAGAGGGAAGAGAGAGTGGCGGAAGCAAACTTGTTTTTTAAATACCCCAGCTTAGAAGTGAAACATCATTTTTGCTTACCTCCCATTGGCATTCAGTCACATGACCATAACTGAAGGTAAAGGGGTGGGTGGGAGATTGAGGTCCTGGCTAGGCAACTGCCTTTCAGTGGTAAAGCTACCGTATGGAAGAGGATCTGTGACATTTTGATGGGCAGCGAGCCATCTCTGCTTCAATAGCTCATTGCAATTCAATTTAAGGAGTACCTCTATACATACATATATAAAAATATAAACAACATTCTGTTCTGTATCTCACTTTCTTTTTAAAAAACTTAATATATTTTAAACCTCCTTTCCTGTCAGTAGCATAGATATATCTGATTTTATTTAATGCCTCCATTGTATTCTGTTATATGGCTTTATCATCATTTATATAACCAATCCTCTATTAATGGTCATTTGCAACAAAAGAACAAGCTATAATAAACATCTTTGAACCCATTTATTTTGTACTCGTGTTAGTATTACCTTAGAAATCCCTAGACATGGAATTTCTTGGCTAAAATGCTGCATATTTAATATTTTGACAGTTATTTTTAAATTAATCAATGGAAAGATTGTACCTATTTATACTTTCACCCATAGATAATCTGCCTACGCTCTTACCAACCCAATCTTATTCATTGTTAAGATAATCACTAATCCATCAGGCAGAAAATATCTCATTTTGTTTTAATTTACATTTCTTTATACATGGTTTGAATGTATGTGTCCCTCCAAAATTCATATGTTGAAACCTAACCACCAAGGTGACGGTATTAGAAAGTGGGGCCTCTGGGAGGTGGACAGGTCATGAGGAATCCACCTTTGTGAATGGAATTAGTGCCCTTATAAAAGAAGCTTCAGACAGCTGCCTCCCTCTTCCATCTCTCCTGCCATGTGAGGACTCAGCATACGTCCCTTTTACCCTTCCACCATGTGAGGATGCAGCAAGAATGCACTATCTTGGAAGCAGAGGGAAGTCCTTGCCAGACACTGAATCTGCTGGTGCCTTGACCTTAGACTTCCCAGTCTCCAGAACTGTGAGAAATAAAATTTCTACATTTGTAAATTACTCAGTCGAAGTATTTTGTTATAGCAGCAAGAACAGACTAAGACATGTGGTTAAACATGTTTTGATATAAATTTATTGGCTATATTTCTTCTATCAATTGTCTGTTTCCAGTCTGTGCCTATTATATTAGTTTCCTGTATCTGCTGTAACAAATGACCACAAAACTTGATGGCTTACAACAACAGAAATTAATTTTTTTCACAGTCCTAGAGGCCACAAGTCCACCATCAACGTGCTGGTAGGGCCACTCTCTAGAAGCTCTGGGGATGATTCCGTTTCTTGTCTCTTCTGGCTTCTGGGGGCTCTGGCTATTTCTTGGCTTGTGGTTGCATCATTCTGATATCTGCCTCCATCTTCACATGGTTTTCTCTGTGTTTCTGTCTCCTTCTGTTTCTCTGTCTAATCTCCTTTCTCATCTCATCATACTATATCATATTATTGTATGTATACTGAATATACAGTAATGATAATAATTATTATTGTTTTGTCCACATACTGTTTCCAACCCCTAGGTTTCACTGGTTATGGGCCAGTGATATGTGAATTAATAATAAATATATACATAATCCATAAGTCATTATTCCATAAAATATATTTTTTCTTGTCTTCATGTCAGCAAAAATAGTGTTGGTATAGCTGAGATTTTCACTTTGAACTGTTGAGAACAGTGATCTAAAGTCAATGTGATCTAAGTAAAATGTGATTGTGTTTAACAAGTTCAAACTTTGACTATATTTGCATGATGAATTACAAAAAGAAAAGTAAGAGCATTGATGCTTGGTTCTATTGGACTGGATATATAATTACCAAAGAATCTACATTATCATGCTATGAGAGAGGAGGGATTTCTCAAGTTAATTCATTTGTTTTTTCTCTTATCTAAGCACTTCCGCAGTTCAAATCCTCCCTGCACTCTGAAGCAGTGTGTGTCCCTGATGTCAGCAGTGGAGCAACCCACAAACCACCCTAGCATTTGGATGCGGTCGCATTTTCTTTTGAGGATATAGACCAAGAGCTATGAAGTATTTCCCTGGGTCTGAGCAGCGTTCAAAGAGTAGATTTCCAGGGCTATGTGCACCTGCCAGCGCTGACCACTGGACCATGAGTGCCCGGGGCAGCCAAGTGTTCTTTAATACATATGTTCATGGGGGTAGGGTGTGAGATGCTGAGCCCTCCAAAGTGAGGGTCTGGGCAGGGGTGCCACAAGGAACTCTCTGGAGGTGGTGGGAGGGAAATATTCCATTTCTTTTTTCTTTCTTTTTTTTTTCTGAGATGACATCTTGCTCTGTTGCCCAGGCTGGAGTGCAGTGGCATGATCACAGCTCACTGCAACCTCCACTGCCCCACGGTTTCAAAAGTGAATTCCTCCCCTTCCGCGCCCTCTCTCTGCCCCTCAAGCCCTCCGCTAAGGTAGCCTGGGGATTTACAGCACACAGCCCACATGCCACAACGCTGGGCTAATTTTTGTATTTTTAGTGCTGGAGTTTCACCATGTGGCAGAGGCTGATGCTCAAAACTTCCCTGACCTCAGGTGATCCCTCCCACCTCGGCCTGTCCAAAGTGGTTTGGGGATTACACGTCAGCATAAGCACCTGCACCCTGCCCAAATACTCCAATTTCTTGATCTGTTTGATGGTTACAATCCAGGTATATTTGTCCCAAAAGTCCTTCAAACGTAGTGTGGGTAGTCCTAAACGGGGGGCGCGGTCTTGTGGCACTGTATTGCCATGTAAATTATACTGTCAATAAAGTACACCTAATAACTAAAAAATAAAGGCTACCAGTGCATATTTTTCTGTAAGTAAACTAAAGAGGTAACCACATATCATTCCATCACTTTAACACAACTGTTTCATATATTCTCTTCTCATACGCCCACACATAAGTGCATAAACATATCACACACTTGGCTTTTTCTTTCTTTTTTAAAATCTGGCTATAATCTCACCATTTGTAGGATTTTTGTGTCCTTGACATTGTATCTTAAATATTTTTCGATGGATGTGGTCTTTATACTTGTATAATGATTGCTTCCATTTTTTCACTCTGGTAAAAATATTACAGTCTACACTGTTACATATAAAGTTTTTATTATGTTCTCGTGATATATTTTCAGATATAGGATGAGTGCATAAAATATTATGGAGATTTTAATGACTATAATGGTTAAGATGTTGGACTTTGGAGGTCAGAATGAGCTGGGTTCAAGTTCTGGATCTGCATGATCTTGGACAAGCTACTTCAAATCTAGTTCAATATCACCCTTAGAGTTGTTTTGAGGATTAAATGAGGTCACATATATAAAGTATCTGGTATGGAATCAACCACATAAGTGCTCAGGAATCACCAGATAAAAGACTGAGAAACTACTTTTCACAAGGATGCTACCTGCTTCACTCCCTGAGGTTATGCAGAAGCACTGATTTTCCATTATAACCCCAGCATTGTGTATTAGAATCTCAATTATTTTATGGATGAAATGAGATATTCTATTGCTGTTTAAGTTTCATTTGTTGACGACTAGGAAGTTGGACATTTTCTAGTGTTCTTGATTTTTAAAATCTTTAAATTTCCTTCTAAACAATTATTCTGTCTGCTTTCAAAAGCCTTTACTTCATTATTTGTTATGGATAAGACAAAAGTCACTATTATAGGGCAGGTTAAGCATCCCTATAGCACAGGAGCCAGTAAAAGAAGGAAATATGTCTGTGTTATTTCTGACCTGGCCAATAAAACAGAGTGGTGAAATGCATTATGCCTCATGGGCTGGCTTTTTGTACCAGCCCAGCAACTGCTGTCTCTGAGCCTCTGGTCCAGAGTTTCCTCAGTGGTCAAATCTAGTCTAGTTGTGGATGTAGGAGGGTGGGGCAGGCTGGAAGATGTTCATTTGAGGGTTAGGGCACATCCCTTTTCTGTCATTGTGCAATGAATTCAACTAGTTAATCTGTGACATGCAAAGTTAGTGTCGAGCTCACAGCTGGTGCCCTATTCATATTATTAACAGGTACGGTCTTTACACAGCGCCTGAGAGCAGAGATCCTGGTTCGTGGCTTGTTACGCGTTGTTGCAAACTCAGTTGTTGAGATCTAGTTTGATGAACTGGCAGACGCTTCTGTTCCTTCTGTCCCCTTGATTCTCTGGGCAAAACAGTAATGTCACAGGGTCTGCCAAACTTGGGGGAGCTGTTCTCTGCTCCAGAGCATACTTTTTCCCCCTTAACCTAGGTATTTATTTATTTAGTTCCCCCCTCAGATCATACTTCAATCTTTTAAATTACAGTGTGACAGAAATTTCAGAACAGCAAGAGTGGGGGGCTAAGGGTTTCACTGCCCTTTATCCCTTATCCATTGCAGCAATCAGCGTTGAGATGACATCAGCCCTGTTTCCTGTCCTCTGTTGTAAGGAGGATGACTCCAATCATTAGCAAAGGTCCTGGCCCCGGAGCACATGCTGCTCTCTCAGCCTGGGAAGTGGGCAACACAGGGAGATTGCTTGCTGGCTGCAGTGGAATTCCCGTGGGACATGCTGTACTATTATTTCATTGCCTAAGAGTCTGGAGGCTGTGTGTGGCCTTTGATACCATCTGTATTTCTGGAATTGTGGGGCCAGGGTAAAATAGAGTCACACTTCTGTGTACTTATCAAGGATAGAAAAGAGACAAGTTTTTCCCTAGTGTATTTGTTTGCCCAGGATAGAAATTGTGTTGAAATTGAATTATCACTTCCCTTTGCCTTATGTGGGTAACTGAGGCAAGTTTCTGCCAGGCATGATGGCTCACACCTGTAATCCCAGCACTTTGGGAGGCCGAGGCGGAAGTTGGAGACCAGCCTGACCAACATGGAGAAACCCTGTCTCTACTAAAAATACAAAATTAGCCGGGCATGGTGGTGCATGCCTGTAATCCCAGCTACTCGGGAGGCAGGAGAATCGCTTGAACCTGGGAGGTGGAGGTTGCAGTGAGCCAAGATTGTGCCATTGCACTCCAGCCTGGGCAACAAGAGCGAAACTCCGCCTCAAAAAAAAAAAAAAAAAAAAAAAAAAGAGAGAGACAAGTTTCTCCCTAATCTAAGCAAGCCAAAAATGGCAAAGAACAAGCGGGAAGCCTCCACAGACTTCTGTGAGGCCAGGGCAGATGTGTAACAGGCACCAGCGCCTTGGTGGGTCATGGTTCTGCTCACCTTTTCCTTGGAGAAGGAAAAACCCTTTTACTGGTGAGAACACTAAGACTCAGAGTGTACTTGCCCTGATCACCTATCTAGAAGGTGGCAGAAAGTGCCTTTGCATGCAAGTCTGTCTGAATCTGAAGCAGGTCCTTTCCCATTGCAGTGGAGGTGTTCTTTTAGAACCAAACAATTCTTGCACTTCCTCCCCTACCTACCTATACAGGAGTGGGAGGCAGGGCCTGCCAGCCGCAGGGCGGTCTTTCTATCTGTTTTGGTATAGAGCATAAGTGTGCCTTACTGGGGGCAGAACAGAGCATGCCCTATTCCAACAGGCCCACAGTGTCAGGCAACTGAAGACTGGGTGTATCTGCAGTCATCTCCATCATGAGTCAGAGGATGAGTCCAAGAAAGCCTCATGATCTGTTGCAGCTGGCCAGGTTGGGTCATGTGGCTCCTTTGCTAGGAAGACTTCAGGGATAACCATGTCACTTCCTGGCTGGAGACCAAGCACTCTCAGCAAAACCTGTACTCAAAGCAAAGCAGCTCATTGCTATTCTTAGAAAAACAAATTATGAATTTTAGTACTGTTCATTTGATAGCCACAGGAGGCTGGTGAGAAAGGTCTCTGTCAGGGGATGGAGGGATGGGCAAACCTCAGATTCCCACAACACTAGTCAGCCTTTCAGGGTTGCAGAAGCCTTTGCAACTCAAGGCCAAGCCAAGGTCTGGGAATTCTATCAAGCGTGGCTGAGGTTGGCCCTCTTAGAGTCAGGTGATCCGGGCTCTACAGTTATTTGTTGCATAACTGCAGGCAAGTTCAGGAACTCTCTGGGTCTCCATGTTGTTGTTTGAAAAATGAGATGGTGTGGGGATGGTTGACTTCGCTAATGTCTGTTCCCCTTTCAGATCTTACATCTTTAAAATGTTTAATTTAAAGCTCACCTCAAATATTAACATACAAGAACAGTAAATTACACCTTATGATATTTGTTTTTCTCTGAGTTCATCATCTCTTAAATATGCTTGCTTGGCCAGGCGTGGTGGCTTGCGCCTCTGATTCTAGCACTTTGGGAGCCCAAGGCAGGAGGACTGCTTGAGCACAGGAGGTCAAGTCTGCAGTGAGCTATGATTATGCCACTGCACTCTAGTCTGGGTGACAGAGCAAGATCCTACATCTTAAAAAAATAAAAATAAAAAAATGCCCAGGTATGAACAAATGATAAGGAAGCTCTATTTCTGAGTATGCCACTTTCCTAGACTGCTGGGAGATTGTACTCTGAAAAACTCTTTAATTACATAACTTCTGTTTCTGCTGAAATTCTCTATGTTGTTGTCTACTTGTGTTTTACATTTTATTACAGAAAATTTGAAATGTAGCAAGAGAATTATGTAACAAACCCCTGTGGACCCATCAACCAGCTTCAACAATTATCTACATTTTGTCAATCATGTTTCATCTACCCCCCACTTCCACCCCATGCGTACTTTTGGCAAAGGGGAGTGGCTGGAGTATTTGTAAGCAAATCTCAGACTTCATATCATTTCACTGTTAAATGCTTCAATTTGTGTTTCTAACAGAGAAGGCCCCCCTTTGTATAAAATATGACTACCATGCCATTATTACACCCACTGAATTAACAGTGACGAAGGAGTTCTTTGAACTTTTAGTGAATTCAGGGTGGAAGTGGTATTGGGATGAAGAAGCCCTGGTCTGGATTTATCCGCTTTATCCAAAACAATGGGAGAATTCATTGAAGGGGATCTTGGGGCTTAAGCTGGCACTTGGCCCACCCCTTACAAGACTTTCAGAAAGCAAATTTCGGAAAGACCTGTCTGTTCAGAACAATGGATATAACTAGCATTTGCTCAGCACCCTCTGTGTACATCTCCATATATATTATCTCCTTTAACCTCCACACCAAAAAGCTGAGAGTAGAAACCAAGGCTCAAGGAGGACCTTCCCAAATATTAACTTCTGATTGGTCAACACTAGAATATCATAATGTTACTGAACCAATAGGAAATTCCCCATACTGAATCATAGGAAATTCCCACCTAGCATCAGAGCACAGGTTATTGGGTTCATGCCTTAATCTAACCGGATGTTTAACTCCTGTAGCAACAATAA